GGTGGGGTGTGTGTGTGTGTGTGCGTGTGTGGTATGTAGGAACACCAAAGAAAAGGGTTTCTCATTCAAGACCTGGCATATTCCCACTAGTCCCAAAATCTAGTCTCAGTGTATTTTCTGTAATGCATATCACAACAGTAGCTATATTCTGTGTTTCTATTTTTTTTTTCTTGTAATCCCCCAGACAGAAAATAAGTGTTTTAGAGGAAATACTGTGAAACATATACCCACAATATCCAAAACAACATTTATAATAAAACTTACTTTAAAAATATTTCCTAGCCCAAGAAATGAAATGTGATAGCAGACTCCCATACTCATATGTTAAGAAAATTTGTAGCAATATTACTTATGAAGCAATATTTAACATACTACTGACAGTAACTTTATCTGTGGATTAGTTGTATGTTATCAGGAAATATAGTGAAACATTTAATAAAGTTGGAGGATCAAGTTGGCACTGCTAAGCAATGCTTACATATACGCTCTCATTGCTTTTAAGACTTCTTTTTTAAATAATACAGAAAGTAGATATAGGCTTTGGGAAATATAAAATCACTGAAGATTAATTTAAGACAACATAAAATGTAATTAATTTATATACCTTTAAAATAATGTTTGCTTAAAAATTCATAGAATATAGTCAACAATCTCCATTTATGTTTCTGAACCTATATAAATACTACTACTGACAAGTCAATATTCACGCACATTTTGAATAACTATTTACTCCAAAATCTGTTACTATTTTTAAAGAAAATGAGAAAAGGAAAGCAGAGTTTAGTAATAAAAATGTCTTCTTTTACTAAATTTTAGCTGTTAAATGATGACACTTTAGTATTCATGCAGTAGTGGAAACGTTCAGCCCAAGAAGCAACATGAAGGAGGGAAAGAAGAAAAAGGAAGCACAAAGAAAAGAAAAGGGAGAAGATGCCTTAAAATGGGGTTTGAAGTGGGTCATTCTTGAGGACCCAGTTATTGTACCTAAGAAACAGAAAAGGGTTTGGTAGCCTGACTTGGAAATCAAAATGAATGGGGTAAAATGGAATGGAGGAGAGAGCTGTGGCATGAACACTAAGAAAATTTTGTTTTGTTCCTAGTATTCTACCCACTGAGAACAGCTTTTAAGACTTAATATTCAGCTATAGATGATATAAGTCAATGTTTAATAAGGGCTTTATTCTGGAAAAATGCTCAGTTTTGTATGAATAAAATCTGGCTTGGAAATGACTTGAGCAGAGAATTTAAGTTAAGGAAAAACATTTCCTTAATGTTCCTTAGTGTTCTCTTTCATTACTATGAACATGCAATTTAAGACAATACCTACTAAGCACAAGGCACTCAACACTTCCAAAGGAATTAAAGTAGGGATTCTCGCCCTCAAATGGTAGGTAGTTTTCTTTCCAAATGAGTGGCTGGAGTTTGGGTTCGATCTTGGTTAGCCCCCGAAGGTGAAGGAATAAAGCAGCTCCATGTCAGAAGCTGTGTTAGGTTCACTTGGCCTCTGGTTTCAGACTGTAAAGCCCCAGTTTGGGATTCAGTTAGAGCCAGGTCCACACTGGAACTTTCCTGTTCTAGCTGTGTAACTTCGGACAAGTTACCCAGCTCCACCCAGCCTGCTTCTCCGTCTGTACAGTGGAGTTCAGAGTGCTTAGTTAGCCACAAGGCCTATTGGCAGGAGGGGAGGTGGTGCCGACGTTTTCCTGAGTGTAGACAGAGTGACTGTGCAGTGGGGTACCCTGTGCTCTCGTAGCTTTTCCTGTTGAAGTGACACATTCTCTATGTGAGAAGGTTTTCTCAGAAGATAAGATGCTAGTATTTAACGTGCCGCCTTTGTCAGTTTGGCAAAGGTTAAGCTTACAAAGTTTATAGAAATATCTGATTCACTAGGGTCAGCCTAGTGCATCTCTTCATGGCCACCCTGATAGGAATTTAAATAGAATTGCAGAGTTGAGTGATATTTCAGGCCTGGCTTGTTCTGGATAGACTCAATATGTCAGAAGAGTTTTGGATACACCCATAGATAAACCTTTTCTGTTTTTAGATGTTTCATCCAGATTTTTAATATGACATTGAACCTAAATAGCTACTGACTTTTTTCTACTTGATCTCCCACTCTTCATGATCATTACATTAGCTTTATTCGTAGAAATATGAAAAGCAGTATATGATGTCAATGAGTTTTATACTAATTCCTGGAAATTCCATTCCAGAAACATCAGAAGGCAGACATTTTCATCTTCTACTTTCCTAGCTGGGTTGATTCAGAGGTCCTAGGAAATGTGTGTTCCATTCCCCCAGCTAGAATAAGCATGTGCAAACATGGCCCATATATGTGTACGTATCTTGGGTAAAGAAACTAATATTGCAGGCTAAGATTATAGAGTAGTAGCATTTTCTTTTCTTGCCTTTGTGTGACACACAGCGTGGACAGATCAAGGAAACTGATGCCACTCATAAGGCCTCGCTAGGAAAGTGAGAGGCGATCACCTCCACATTTGAGGAAAGGTAGTATGCAAATTGTGAAAAGACTCTCAATGATTCCATTTTGTGCAGTTTCCTGCCCAGTGTTTAATCCTGTTTTCAAATGGAATTATTAAGGTTCAAAAGTATATAATTGAAATCAACTGCACAAGCTATTTGGTCTCTTGCCTCCAAAATGCATTAAAAATATCCCCTTTGTGAGGCATCTTGGAGGAACATTGAAATTACAAGGCTGATGAGAGCCACTATTGAAAAATACTGGGCTGTATCTTCATGTGATGTTGAAGACAATTACTGGAGGTAACCACAACCCACATTTCTTTCAGAATCATTTCTGAAGAAGAGCTAAAAATGCTGCTAACTCTGAGAGACTCAATCTGTCAAAATGTATTAAAGTGACACACTGTTAATGCTAGTTCAACCTAAAAAAAAATCCTCCTATAATAAAATGCTTTATATAAACCCAGAAAAGCTAGGAAGCTCATAGTTCTTTCTACTAAATTAGCCAGTATTTGAGACCCAAGGCGGAGGGCATAGAAATGGTAATTTGACTCCCTGTAGTGGCTTACTAATGGTTGCTTAATACTTATCCATAGGTGTATTTGCTTTTCTGAATATGTCTAAAAGACCCGGAAATGACTTTTCTCCAAAACGGGAAAAGGGTTTGGAAGAACCTGGATGTGGTCAAAAAGAAGGGAAATTTATTTTCCTTGCCTGGCTTCCAACTTTTTCCTGTACCTCATAGAAGCATGAGCATCGAAATACACACACACACACACACACACACACACACACACTGTACAGAGGCATGTTTATAAGAGCATTTTAAGAGCTTTTTAAAAAGATGAGAGCAGCAAATACTGAAGCCAGGGCTCCTCTCCTCATATCTAGCATGGTCAGAATCAAGTCTTCAGAGAAAAAGACTGGATCGTATTGATATATCAATGAAGCTCAAAGCAGAGAAAGTGTCTGTAATACTTTATATGCTCCTGAAACTTGATAATGAAGCACCATCAGGCTTTGTACAGGTCGGATAAGTGGTGAAAAGCTAGCATGCTGTCCTGATAATTTAGTATCTGGTCAGATTCACTGACTTTATCTAATCAAATCATGAGAGCCCTAATCAGAGGCATCAGTCACTGAGGAGTTTGTAAAGGTGAGGAGAGTGCCGGGAGTATTTTCTCTTTATCCCACCTGGAGGCCAAAAATAAAAGGAATATTCTTGAGGAGCAGAAATGTCAAAACCCACAGTTCTTAAGGTCTTAGCTCTCCAATCAGCAATGACCACGAGTGGGCAGATGGAATGATCTTCAGAGCTGTATCTGGGGCGTAGCTTTCCACAACCCATCTTGCTCCACCCTCACTCCGTTCTGCCTTGAGATTCCCTTCCTTGGGATAGAACTCAGTTTCTGTGAGTTCACTGTTAATGCTCTTCCTTTCCATGTCCCTACATAAACCTCACACTTTCCCATATGTGTAACTTTGCACATTCTTTTCCTGAAGCTCTCAAAAGTTCCTACATTCTTGGTGATTTGTCCATGAGGGGAGGAGATCCCTTGATAAAACTGCACAGCAAATGTTTTACCCCCATTGAGTCCTTGAGCCATTAAGTGGCGCTTGCATTGTAACATTATAATGTGCACCTGTATTTCTGGCCAATGACGGAGGCCTGACCACCTTGCCTTAGATCCTGCTCTGGTTGTCTGTAAGGACCTAGAATGCTTTGCTAACGAGCCCTCCAGGTGATTCCAAGGCAGGTGATGCGGGCACCACTTTAGACACAGGAATGTCTCTCCCCTGCGAACGTCTCTCTCTTTTCCGTGTTAGATATCTGCCAAAAGAGTCACAAGCAAACTTCTTTTTCCGGAATGAAAATGTCAATGAGTTTTATACTAATTCCTGGAAATTCCACTCCAGCAACATCAGAAGGCAGACATTTTCATCTTCTACCTTCCTAGCTGGGTTGAAAATACTGGAGAGGAAGATAGCTTCATGTGAGTTAATGGAATTGCTATTAATCACTTTTTGAGCAAATGTAGGAATCCCAAGAACACGCTGTAACTTGCATCCCTCTTGTACTGCCTCTGCCAGCTCTGTAGTTAACAGAACAATTGTTTACGAAAAGGGCAGGTTGCCGATGAAAATAATGCTTTTGCAAAACTGAGAAAACAGTATCAGAGTCTGTGGACTGTGCTCTTCCAACTGGAGAATCCTGTATTTGTAATAAATTCCTTTTGCTCTGGATGAGCTCTGCATTTTCAATGAGGTGAACTTGGCAACATTCTAGTTGATTTTAATAAAAATAGCTGCTTTGAGGACAGGGAGCTGAGGTTGCCAAATTTACAGCTGCCGCGCACAGTTACTCTTACACCTCCTTGAGGGCTACTCAGAACCAGTAAGCAAATTAAGTGTATCGATTGCAGTTTTGTTGGACTAACCCCGCTTGTTTTTCCTTAAGGAATGAACTTGAATCCTTTCAGTATGTGTCTCTTCAGAGTGATCTCTTTTCTTTTCAGCCACAACACAAAGACCACCTCGTGGCTGGATCCACGTCTTGCGAAAAAGGCTAAACCTCCAGAAGAGTGCAAGGAGAATGGTAGGTCACTAAGTCTTTGTGGTGTTTCAGCGATGCGCTTGGAGAATGTCTGTGTTTCCTAAAAGAGGGTCTCGCCTAAAGAAGCAATAATCTAGTTGAAGCAATTCCGGAAATGTAATATGTAAGGCTCAGCTAGGAGGGAGAAATAAGTCGGCGTTTCAGTGGGGCCATGTGGGTTTGCTGTTTCTCCCTGAGGGGAATCTGCTGAATGTCACATCACTGTCATCTCTGTTGGTTCTTTTTGACTCCTGGCCTGACTTTCCACCACCTACTAAGGACTTTTGTTTGCAATATGTCTCTCTGAGGATGCTGGTCTTTTAGCTGGAGGAAAATAGGATGCATAGAACAACTCTGATGCGGAACTATAAATAATCTCTAGTTTTGTGTTCAAAGACATAGCATTCTGCCAGTTACTAAGGAACCAGTACTGGAAAGATATATATTTTTTTCTGTAATCAAGCATTTAAATAAAATAATTGCACAAATGTCTTAGATTACCCTTACTGTTTTCCAGTTCTCAGTATAAATATACAGACTTGCTTAAAAATGAGCTGCTTTCACACATGTGAAAAACATTTTTAAATAATTTAGAGGGCTGGAGGAGTGTAAGTCTTGTTTGTAAATGAGTAAATTTATATAGGTGAAGTCTGTAACTGATGATACGTGTAATTTTTTAAAATATTGAGTTTAACTTTGCACTTATAATTTAGTTAGAATGATAAATAGCACACTCTCCTGTGATATATTATTTGGCCACATTCACAGCCTTTATCTGATCAGATTTTGTTCAGAGGCATCTATCATTGAGGAGCTCTTAAAGGTGACAAAAGCAACAGAGGATGTTTAAACTTTTTTAAAAGTTTTTTAAAAGTCAATTTTTAAAATATCTCTAATTTTAAAAGTCCTTTCATTTTAACAGTAATCCTGGCTTTCTAAAATAATGCTGCGCTTTTCTGTTATTAGGCAACTGTTCACAGGCTAGGTATGATACCGAGTTAAAATTTGTTAAATGGCAATTTTTATGTACATTAATGCATAAAAGTTGATACATATATTTAATTATATATGTAGAGCTACTACATCTGTGTCCTTCTGTGTAACAGTATAACTGTATGTGATTGAGTGCTATAAAACTGTCATATGATGGCCAGGGATTTAGCTCAGTGGTTCCACCGCCTGCTGTGCAAGCGCAAGGACCTGAGTTCGATCCCCAGTACCAAAACAAAAAAACAAAAAAACTGTCATATGAGCTGGACTTTGGGGCACAATTAGGTTGCATCTCCTTGACACCAGTAAGTCATGTGTTGGAAATTGTGGTAGGTTGTAAATTAAAATGACCTGCTCCTTTATATCTGTGAGTAATAATTTACTTATACTACAGATGTAAAATCTTAGTGTATCCTTATTAAAACGATTTTAACAATTTTATAGTTCTGTGACATAGTGAACTTCTCAGCTGGCTTGCTTCTTTGAATTGTTCTTTCCATTTTACAAAATCTCTATTAAAGTCAAATTTTAAAATCCTGGGAGAGATACAGGCATAACATATTGCATAATTATAATATTTCAGTGCTACCAGTTTTCTGCATATCTGCGTTTTTCAGTCTTCTCAGCATGGTAGAGCGAGAAGGATGCCAGTCCCCTGAAAACTGAGTCCTAGAAAATAGTCCATCATGATTTACAACTGGCCAATTACTATTTGTTTCATTTTCTACAAAATAAATATAACTCATAGGCTTTATTCCATATATTAATGCAATGTTGCACAGTAGGCTCTCGCAATGGAATAATGCTATTTTTCTGAACACACTTAAGTTTTCTTGCCAAAAAAAGTGGTTTAAGGTAATATTGTTACCTATGTATTATTTTCCTTTGCTTTCAAGAACATGGCTTGCAATTGCTTGTTTAAGATCCTGGGTAGGAATGGCTCATTGTGGAGCCCTGCCACTCTGTATTACATATAAGCTCAGACCCACTGTCAGGGCACAAATTATCTGAATGCTGGAATATGTGAAAAACATGTATTAAAAAACTGTGCTGTTCCAGATGATGATCGCTTCCTCTAGCAAAGACTTGTCCTTCCAGGGCAGATAGATAGGCTGAAAGCTGATTGTCTCCATCCCATCTAAACTGAGCCCATGGGAGGCTGGGTTGAACTCTGGTAAGACCCAACAGAGAATTGATTTGCTTCTGTTCTCAAGGGCCTTCACCTGCCAGGGATTTCAAGCAAAGGCCCTGTGTAAGTTGCCAAACATTATCTGCAGAGGGCAAGGTAATAAATACTTTAGGGTTTCCAGGTCACCTCTTCTCTTTGTAATGACTCATGGTGCAAAAACAGCCTAAGTCAGTCTAGAAGGGTCATGGATGTGTTCCAATAAACTTCTATGTATGGACACAGAAATTTAACTTGATATATGTTCACATAACAAAATGACCTTTGGGGGTTTTTTCTCAACCATTTAAAAGTGTATAAACTTTTGACTTATGGACAAAACAAAAATAGAGGAGGCTGGATTTGACCTACAGGGCAAACTCTAGCTCAGTATGTTCATGTGAGGTCTTTCCCCTGGTGGGTCTCCAACACTAATATTTTTAAATATTGTTCTTTTGGGGATTGTAGAATTACCGGAAATCTAGGGTGCTTTGAGGGAGTTCTTAGCTTAGCATTCTTTGCCTGTAGATCCTGCTGCTTCAGAACTTGACAAATGTCAGAGGATAATTGGCAAGTGCTTGAGATCTCAAGTTTATATTTTGTTACTAGAATCTTTCAAGATTCAGCTCTCTGCTCGTTCTTCTGGCCTCCAGAAGTGGCCCCTTCTCAGGCCAAGTCTGGACTCCGCATTCTAAGAGCCCTAAATCCACAAAGCAGCTGCAGAATTCCTTCCTGGACCTCTCCAGGGTTCTCTTCCCTTCAGAATCTTAGAGCTTCTAGATCTTGTTGCTTCAGTGATTCTCTGATCCTTTAAACTGCTTATTTTATAATATTTTACCTAGATTTTCTGATTTCTCATGGGTTTCAGACTATTGACTCCATCCTACCTGGAATAGAAACTTTAGTGCAGTAATTTTTAAAGTGTATGTCTTAGACCTTGCTAAGTTGTATATCATAAATTATTATCAAAATTTCTATGTTAATTCCACAAGGTTGTCACTAGTTGTACCTGTGTGCATACGATGTATGAATGTATATAGTTGTGTGTAGAGGGGAGGATATAGGTATGGATCTGTAAATGTGTGAGTCTTCAAAGCTGTTTACATAGGTGCATAATTTTGTGAAATTTTAAGAGGAAACCAAGTGAAAGAAAGATGGGAGGGGATACCACCTGATTTAAATTATCCTGGGCTAGAGAAAACACTAACAGATATTTCCCCCTTGGTATCATGGAGTTAAAGAGAATAAAGATGGCTTCAATCATATGTATGTCAGATGAGCTTCTCGCAGGAAAGCACTCATTTTGCCTTTTGATTTGAGGGATGATACAACCACTAAACTTAAAAACACACTTCCTTCTTTTGCAATGTGGTTGAAAATATGAAAGTCATGGTGTTTTGTGCATTTGTCATAGTTCTGGAGTTCTAGCATCAGCCTAGAAGGCAGAAAAACATCTCCACCTACTACTTGATTCTAATATTAGAATTTGGGGGAGTACAGTTTAGCAAGCCAGTATAGCCTTACTTAAAATGCCTTTGAAATAGCAATTAACTCATAAATAATCTGGATGCAAAATTGGTTGGATTGTGTGCAGCACCATCTGACCTGTGCCCTCAGAGTCTGTGGTAAGGGATTCCTCCTGAGACATTCCCAATCACAAGCATTCCTCAGTGACCCACCCACAAGAACCACTGAGTTGGGCTGGTGAGAGCAGCCTTGAAATATGATTAAATTCAAAATACCACACTTATGAAGAGGACAAGAAATCATACAGGATTTGCAGCTAGGAAAAACTGTTTCAAAGCCACACCTGTGGACTCTTCAACAAGGAGTTTCATCTCTAGGAGCCTAGGTTTTCTGATCTGTAAAGTAGGAATCATATCTATTTCATGTAGATTTGGTTTGCTTACAGGAAGTGCTATCTTTTTGCACCATTTATTCTAAGTAACTGCACACTTCCCTTCCTTCAGGGAGTCCTCTGAGCCAACCATAGACCCTCCTAGAGGACAAGAGGGCAAATTCAGAATTGTTGGCCAACCTTAGGAGCTTTCACCTATCCCTGGATGTCTTGGAAAGATGGAAATGAACACGTCCACAGAGACGAAAACTATCCAACTAGATAATTTCAGCTTGATATTAATAGATCAGGGGTTCCCCTTCCAGTCTGTTAAATGGCTCATGAAGTTATAATTGCATCTGTATGAACTGACTGGGTGGCTTTGCTTCTGTATTTAGTATCTGTGAATTATAAGTTAATTTTCTTATATAACTACAGAAAAAAAGTCATACAATCCTAACCTATTTTTCCACATGAGAACACATTTCAACTGACATTAACTAAAGCCATACACTATTACTTAATCTATCTTTTAAAAAAAAATCTCCAGAATACACATGAGCAAAGACAGAACAAGCCGTGTTTTATAATAGTAAGAGGAGATGAGCCTTCAAAAATAGAAGGAAACACTGTTTAGCTTTAAGTGAGTTTTATAAAACTAAAATATGAAGAAATGCATACTTTTATTTTCAGATTATGTTTCTAGAGTGCTTAGTTCCTCCTTAATTCAGGGCTTTGGCCTTTTTTCTCATTAAATTCCAATTGATAGTTACTAATCTTAATTTCTTGAGAATTAATATGATCAAGTTAGTTCCACATTTAAGTATTTGCTAAGGCTGTGTGTAAATGTCCCCCAAATCCTCACATGGTCATAGGTGGAGCTTTTCCAGAGGTGGCTGGATCTAGAGTGTGGTGCTGGAATTGATTCCTGGCACAGTGCTAGGCTCAAGGACACTCAAGGATGTGAGTGCTGCCCACCCTAAGTGGCCTGGATAAGATATGAGGGATAGA